TCACTCCTCCTCAGTCCAGATATGGTCACTTCCTGTTCACTGGTTGAGAAAAAACAAGATGGCGAAGGCTGTAATCCAAGGTTACATTTAAGTAACTTTCACTTTGTAAAAACAGAGAAAGAGTGAAGCCACAAATAAAACTTTATTCACCAATTGTTTCTTCAGGTGGAGATGGATTCCAAACCGGCGTCTGCGTTTCTGGTGATGCAGTGACGACGGAGCACCGGCTGCTCAGCCGAAACTTCCAGAGGTTCTTTAGAAGGCAGGGGGCGGAGTCAGACCTCACACTGAGAGTGGTTGACACGCCCCCTATGCTGTTGCCACGCCCACATAGCGTGCACGAGCTCTGCCCCGAGGGTGTGCATGTACTCGTATTCGTTGCGAGAGCCGACCTGCCGCACCACAGCACGCGACTGGAGGAGCAGGTGGAGGTACACGCACACTGTAATGGTAAAATATGTATTAGCATCATGGAAAGTTTTTAAAGAAAATAGTGTGACATCTTGGTATAATGGAGAAGTAAAAGAGGCTCTGCAAGACACAGATGTCAGCACCTAAAGACCCGGTTTCTTAACTGAAGGGTCGTTTAAAACAGGAACATAGAAACCACAGCCGACTCACAGTTGAGCTACCTGCATGAACCAGATAAGACCAGACCAGACACTTCCTTCATGGGAGTCATGTGGGGCGGAGGCCTCTGTAGGTATAAAAGGATGTTGAATGTTGTATCTCGTTGAAGCTCACACCACAGCTGAATGAGTATCTGTGGTGCACTCTTCACTTGCAAGCAAATAAATGGACAAAGACAACTTTGAATCTTTTGAAGACTTTGTTATTGATTTGTGAACAACTCTCTCTTCTCCCGATTAATATAGAAATCTTCCATCACAGCTGTCACACACACACACACACACACACACACACTCACACACATATTGTAGTGAGATATTTTGGGTGATTTTGTGTGTTTTGTGTGGACGTGTAGACTCTCTTCGGTCCTGGATGGCGTCGTCACGCTTTACTTGTTGTCACGCACACTGACCACCTGGAGGAGGCGGGGCTTCACCGGTCAGACTACCTAACACAGACCAGCGATTGGCTGAGAGCTCTGGCAGAAGAGGCAGGGGGAGGAGTCTCATTCTTGGACAACAGCCGTGATTGGCCGTCAATCAGAGGACGACCGCTAAGAGACCGGCTGCTCCGCCTCTCAGCCGGGAACCATCACAGAGCTCTGACGGTGAGGACGGAGGTCTCACTCTGACTGAACTTCAGAGGAACTACAAACGACTTTAACAAAAAAGTTTGTGTAATTTAGTTTAGTTTAAGAAAAAGGATCGTTTGAAGCATGGACTTTAAAAAGATTCTCCAACACACACTTTATTAACCCTTTATTTTGGGTTCTAGGTATAACTCTTCGTTATCGAAAGGTTCTACCAGGAACCAGAACCCTATATGGGTCTAGTTAGTACCTTTATTTAAGAAAAGTAGGGTAAGGCTGATCAATACTCTCAGTTCTCAAACATTACTTATTCAAAGGATGTATTACAGTTTTATTTTAGTCGACTAGTCAACATAAAGGCATCTCTGTGCTTTCTGCTTCATGTTGTGTTTATTTACATAAAATACTTGAATAAATAGTGTCTGGAGTTCAACTATAGTGCTAACTTAAAGTCATTATATAAACAACAACACTGAAGTAAACAGCTGATTGTGTTTTACTTTTTTATTCAATAAACAACAGTGATGAAATCGTCTTTTGTCTTCCTCTTCTGTTAGCTAACGGCACTAGCTAGGCTGATAACTAGCTACGTGATTAGTGGTTGCCGAGGCTTTTCACAATAAAAGTACATCACATCCTCAGCAGGTCTCGTCCCGTATGAAGCGGCGTCTATCTGATGACGGCGTCGGTGAGGGTGGGGGTCCTGCACAGCCCCTTCCCCTTCACCTCGAACCCACAGCCTTTGTAGTTGGCCACGCCCCTTGAGTCTACCTGCAGGTCGGGCTGAAGAAGCTCCCAAACTCTGTCTTTGGACTGCAGCTCTCGGTCCGGGTCACCTGAACACAGAGAGAGTGGGTTCATGGTTACCTGGAAAGAAACACTTTCATCGTCCAGCTAGCTTTGTATGTAACCTCGCCGCGCGAAAAAAGAAGCGAGTGGATGCGAATGGACGAGACTGGACGTCAATGGGCAATGTTTGAAAAAATCATTTTGCTGTAATTTCATCGTTGTAACCACGTTTACCAGGGTAGTTGAGGAAGGTGACCCTGTCTCCGGGGGTGGAGCCTGTGGGCGGAGTCAACAGCTCGGAGCAGTCATCGGGGGTGGAGCAACAGAGGAGGCGGGCCTGGGAGACCACGCCCCTCAGCTTACAGGCCTTGACGTTGCATAGCAACACAGCTAGACCGCCCTGGAGCTGCAGAGAGAAAGAAGAAATACGTTTTACAAAAACATTTTTCAGTAAAGATGACAGATTTTGAATGAAAGAAAGAGAGCGATTAATAAAAGAGAAAGTGAAGGCACATACTAAGAAAGAAAGACATTTATAAAGTAAAATGAAAAGTGAAAATATTGTTGAAATATTTCAAGAATACAATCGTGATAATTTGAGCATAAAGTATTTACACTTTGAGAATAAAGTTGAAGTATTTCGAGGAAAAAGTCGGAATGTTTTAAGAACAAAGTTGTAACATTTTGAGAGTATTTCTGGAATAACATTTTTATATTTTGATTATAAAGTTGTAGTTTTTTGAGAAAGTCTGGTATTTAAAGAATGCAGTTGTAACATCGTGAGAATGAAATTGTAATATTTAGATAGTAAAGTTGTTATTTTTTGGATATGAAGTCCTTGTTACCTCCTCCAGGTGTGTTTTCCCTCCCAGCTTGCTGACGACCGTTCGGGGGGCGTTCTCTCCGACGTCCACCTCCTGGACCGACATCGCCTCGGCCAGCGGGTGGCGCCGGACGCTGAGGATCCGTCCAACCCGAAGGTCCAGTCGTGACACGTCGACGCGAGGCTCCGCCCCCAAGGAGAGAGAGTCAGAGGTGGGACGAGCTGGAAGAGAAAGAGAGAGAAAGGTAAAGTCGTTTCCTTCCCTCCATTTCCTTTCTATGTTTCCTCCCTTTCCTCATTTCCTCCCTCCTTCCCCCATCTCACCTTTCCTCTCTCCTCTCCTCCTCCTGCTTTGTCTCTCTCTCCGGTCATGTGAGGAGGGGGGAGAAGGATTTGTTAAAACAGCAGCTGTGGCTCCGGCAGGTTGATTGGCAACAGGTGTTGTGGGGGCGGGACTAACAGGTGGAGGAGGCGGGGCCGGGGAGAGCAACGCTTTAGCTGAAAGAGAGAAAAAGAGGCAGGAATTCAATTTCATGTATCTGCCTGTTTTTTTAAATCTTTTGGTTAAATCTCCAAAAAGGGTTTGACTTAATAAAGTTGTTATTAGATTAAAATAATCCGCTCCGGTTCTCTCTGGTTCTCCACATGGAACCAGCTCAGAGCGAAAGAAAATCATCTACAGTTGTTGGTGTGAGTTTATATTCCTCTTTGTGAGGATCGGGTCGAGGTTTAGACCTTAAGAGTGAGGACACTTTATAGAAAGTGAGAACTTAACAGCAAAGTGACGACATTTTACAAAAGTTAGAACCTTTTTTTCAATGTAAAGAACATTTTGGGAACACTCAAAATGTGGGGGACTTAAGGACATGTATAGAAAGTGAGGACATTTATTTGTTCTCACATTGTTAAAGGTCTGTTTAATGGTTCAGACCTGGTTTGAGGGTTATCAAAAGTATAAAAGTGTGTGTGTGTGTGTGTGTGTGTGTGTGTGTGTGTGTGTGTGTACCGGTGCGTCTCCTCTGTTTGTCCTGCAGCTGAGTTCTCAGCAGCTCGATGTCTTTCTTCAGTTTTCCGTTTTCCACCAGCAGCTTCCTCTGATCTCTGACTGAGGCCTGCAGCACTGAAACAAACACACAGGTAGGTTTAATCTGCTCCACAAGGGGGCGCACTGCTGCTGTCGACCTGGGTTTTCTCTTACGTGCTTTCTCTTTCATCAGCAGGGCCTGAGCTTTGAAATACTCCACGATCTGCTCGCCGTCCTTTGGATCGAGTTTGATGAGAGCGGCTGCCAGGCTGCAAACAAACAGAGAGTTAACAGTGTAACAGTGTGAAACTAAAGGAAATCAGACAAAAGTACATTTTTTTGTGTACAAAACCCCACATATGAAAAACTAAAAATTACAAAATATACTCCCAAAACTCCCAAAAATAATTAAATTCTGTTGTAACACAGGTTATATGTAATATAAGTGTCTAACAAACCTTTTTTGTCAGTTCGAAAACTAAGTAGTACAGTGTTGAGGTACAAGTACCTTACATTTATATACAACTTCATACTTTTTCTCCACTACATTTTAGCAGGAAATAGTGTACTTTGTTTTATTTTCTTATAAAAAAGTGAAAGAATCTACTTGTGCAATAAAAATATTTAAATCTGTTTTTATTGTTCGTCAAAATAAAATAAGATAATATACATGTAATGCCTTCAAGATACAGAAACTTATTTCTAAAACATTTTTAAACTAGTTGATTTAAAATAAAAACAGGTTGATAAAGTTATAAAAGTTATAAAGTAGTTAAAAGTAGCTCCGCCTCAACCAGCTACACCTAAAATCCAGCTCATACATTAATGCACCGATACTAACAATCCTATCATATGTGACATTTGGGTGGAAGTACATTCTGCTGTACTTCAGTTAGATTTTAAAGTTAGGACTTTGACTTTTAGTGGAGTATTTTACATCGTTGTATTAATACTTTTACTGAAGCAAAAGACACCAAATCCCCAAAAAATTATTTTATATTTCAGAGTAAAAACGAGAGTTCAACCACATAAAGAGAGACTGAGCTCGTCTCTGAAATAAAGACATAAAAGCAAAGAAAGAGTCGTCATTGAAGATTTGATAGATGTTATCTGTGATGAAGGAACACACATCAAAGGACTACACACACACAGAGACACACACACACACACACGTACACACACCCTGACTTGCTGAAACCAGCCTATTTGCATAATGATAAACATGCAGCTACTGACGTGCCCGTCAGCTGTAAGTCTGGTTAACATTTACATACACAAACACTCTGCTGTCACCAACACGTTGTATTAAAGAAGACTTGAAACTAGAGATTGAGACCATAAACTCATGTTTACAA